AGGGTCTCAGATCCTTTCTCTTCAAATGTAAGCCCAAGCTTGAAGTTTATATCTTGTTATGGAGACACGTGGATTTGGTTAAACCTTCTGTATGTGCCATGGAAAACCCACAAAAGACAGAGGTGCCTTTCCTGCTATCCCTGCTTCCATAAGCTGCTGTTTGCCATGGCGGGAAATTGAAATACTACACAATAAATATTTATTGCTGTAATACTTACATATTTGAAATCAATTAAGGGAGGTTTTTTTCATTTCAGTGTTGATTTATTTAACTATTATTAGTTCTGTGGTTTTTAGATCACCACATCCTGACCAACAAAATGGTTGGAATTTATGCTGGGCTGTGTCATTTCTTGAAGTCTAAGGGATAAAAAGGGATGGTTATCTCTTGTCAGGCTCCTTGGAGAGCAATGAGGAAATGAGCAATAAAAGGTTCTTTGAGGCTCTTTTAACTGTAGTTTATCATCTATTATAGTTACTGATGTGTGGAAACCAACAGAAATACTTTACATGTTTGTAGTTACAAAGCCCTTAACAGCTGCAGCTGTGAGCCAAGCATTTACAGCTTTTTGAAATGTGTTTTTATAAATGYAACCTTAAATCATTGTGTTTTTGTATACCAGTCTCCTTAAGAAAATTCCTGAGATAGCAATATGTGGGTTGATACATTCAGTCAGGGCTGGTTTGTGGGTGCTTTTGTTTGTTTTCTAACTTCAGTAGAGCAGTGCATGATGTGAGCATTTTTGGGACAGGGTTAATGATTACCAAAATGCACAAACAGCGCTGCATTTCATTCCCCTTGTTGGATGCAGTGCTGAATGAGAAATCAGGGTGGGGAGAAGAAAACTGTGAGGGCACCCAGCATAACGAAGGGCTCAGGACTGTGCAAACCTCTTCCCATTACCAGGACTGGAGGATATAGCAAAGGGCTCCATATTTCTTCATCCCCAAGGGAGTCAGGTCTGGAATTTGCAGAGACTCAGCCCTCAGGGGCACTGGTCAAGCAGTTACTATGGAGAAAGCTTTCTACCCCCAGGTGGTTGGCTATTTATTACCCTTCCCTGTTTCTCATGGGTCTTTTCATGCAGTTTTTCTTTTTCATGCACTCTTCTATGCACTGTCCTCTCTGCATTTCTCTTTTCATCTGGCTTGGGTGGATTTCTTGCATCTAACCCTCTCCATGGGGAATGATAAAGCAATAAGGCATTTGGATGCAGTGCAAAGGATGTCACAACGTGACTGTTCTCAGCCTGTAYGCATTGCTGGTTAATAGGATCGCCAAAGGCATGTGATAAAACAAATATATTGAGATTGCAGACGTGTCAGCTCTTGTCTTCCACAAGAAATGCACTCTTTGGCATCCAGGTTGCTGTCACTGCTGTTGTGCCTATACTTTCTGCATTTACACCTTTGCAGGCTTGGCTTGGGTGACTGGCTGGTCTGGAATGTCTGTTCCTGTGCCAGGGCCTTTCCCCAAAGGCYTCTGACTGCCCCTGACATGATCCAGCAGGCAGATTTATCCACTGCACACTTGCATATGTGAGCCTGGCCAAACAAATGTCCCATGCATTGGGATTCCAGTAATTCTGGGATTCCAGTAACTCAAGGTGTCTGAGAATATGCAGCAGTTGAATATCAGCTATTCAACTTCCAGAAACTGCATGAAGACATAAGAGACAATGTTCTTTCTGCAAGTCTGTTTTAAATCAACCCAAATATTATTTTAGAGCCAGAGCTATAATTCAGTAAAACTTGATACAGTCTTGGAAAGCCATAGAAGGTATTAGGAAATACCACTGGAAGCTGAGACCTAGAGATACTGCAATAATCTGCATTTTAAACTAAATCGACATGTCAGTTAAATACTGATTGAGGCACACCACAGAGAATGATGGGTTACCTTTTCAACAGAAATCCTTAAAATGTAGAAGGCTTTGTTTGCATGCAAAAACAGAACCATTTTGCCACTGCTACTTGCAGCTGAAATAKTCATATATAGGAAAGATTACTGTCATGAGAATTTACTCAGTGCTATCACTGCTTGCCATACTTTGGTGATCATTTAGCCTATGAGTTAGGCTACTTCCAGGATCTTCAKCTCTGCAGAGGGGTTCTGAGGGTAAGGGGTAAGGTGCAGAAGTGTACCCTCCCTTGAGGAGCTGCTGCTGCCACTCTTCCTATGCAGAGGCTCTAAGGAGCAGAGATTAAAGTCATCACTGACATTTTTTGTGAAATGTTATATTTTTGGATTGGCTTTGTTTCCTCTGTAATTTTTCTTAAATTGATAGCTAYGTTCTGTCCATTTTGCACAAATATGAATTGAGAGTCACTGCACATTTTTCTTGAGAGGGAAGGTAGTTGGTGCACAAGAGTTAAATGACTTGGCATGTGAGAAAATCTGCTAGAGCTAGCATTGGAGGACACCAGAGCTGCTTCCCACCTCTGCACCCATTTCTTGTGCTCCTGCCTAAATAAGGAAAGTGAAAAATCATGGACTCATAGAATTGTTAATGCTGAAAARACTGGTTGGTCCAACAGCATCAAGTCCATCCATTAATGTGACACTGCCATGTTCACCACTWAAGTGTGTTCCCAGGTGTCACAGCCACATGGGCTTTAAACACTTGCAAGGATGGTGGTTCTGTCACTTYCCTGGGCAGCCTGTTCCAATGTCTGACCACCTGTTCAGTGAAGAGACTTTTCCTCATGTCACAGAATCAAATAGGTTGGAAAGGTTCTCTGAGATCAAGTCCACGCTATGTCTGAACACCATTGTATCAACGAGACCATGGCAATAACCCACCCCTGGTGGGTCTTGAGGCCATTTCCTTTTTCCTGTCCCTTGTTACCTGGGAGAAGAGACTGATCCTCACCTGGTGACAGCCTCCTTTCAGGGAATTGTAGAGAATGATGAGGTCTCTCCTGAGCCTCCTTTTCTCCAGGCTAAGCACCCCAGCTGTCTCAGCTGCTCCTCTTCTGACTCCAGACCCTTCCCCAGCTCCATTCCCCTTCTCTGGACTCACTCCAGCCCCTCAGTGTCCTTCTTGTAGTGAGGGGCCCAGAACTGGACACAGGATTTGAGGWGTGTCCTCATCAGTGCCGAGTACAGGGAGACAACCCCTGCCTGGTCTTGCTGACCACAATTCCTGACATAGGCCAGGATGCCATTGGCCATCTGGGCACACAGTGGCTCACGTTCAGTCACTGTCAAACAGCACCCCCAGGCCGTTTTCCAAGGGCAGCATTCCTCTGACAAAGGCAGCCACTCTGTCCCCATCCTGTAGCACTGCCTGGGGTTGTTGTGACCCAAGTGYAGGACCCAGCACTTGGCCCTGTTGAACCTCATAGAACTGTCCTCAYCCCACTGATCCAGCCTGTCCATAAAAAATAAAGCATGAACATTTCTGGTGATACTTGTTTCATAGCTTCTTTCTTACAGACTCAAGGTGACTTCTGGTAAGACAACCTTCCAGTGAATGTATTGTTTCCACTGAAACATCAGGATGATATTATTGTTCYCTTAGGCACCATATTTTTATCATTAAAAATATAGATCTAGACACTACACACATTTTTTTGACCCTTTTACCAGACACTGTAATTTTATGATTAGATACAGAGAAGGYTTAATGTCTTTGGGGAATCAGTATTATCTTTCTTTTCCTGCAGTTTTTTACAATGTTGTTGTGACTTTTTCCATGGTTAGATGTTTTAAGATAAGCTATGGGGTTGGTTAGAATATCTCTATCAAGGCTATTTTGCTTGAAAATGGCCTATGATCATATAAAACATCCATTGTTTACATTTGTTACAGGTTTTACTGCATGTGAACAAAATACTAAAATATTTGAAATGAATTAATGAGCCATACTTGCTGAAGGAAATTAAAACMAGTCACATGTCAGTGACATTTTAATCTGTCCTAGTACTGACCTCATCTTCCATGATACTATTTCTTAAAATTTGGATCTGCTGGGTTCATGTTATACCAGTGGAGGTTTTGGCACTAAATGTGGTGAGGTCATCATCCAGACCTAGCCCTGAGCCTGAAACATGATAAACATTTTTGCTGTGATTATGTGATTACCAAGAGCTGACTAAAATGATTGCTAAGAAAGTGTTTAAGACAAATTAAGGATAACACACTGCAATAGCCAGAGCTGTCTTCATAGAACCATAGAATGGTTTGTGTTGGAAGAGACCTTAAAGACTATCCAGTTCCAACCCCCCTGCTGTGGACAGGGACACGTTTCACTAGACCAGATTGCTCAAAGCTCAGTCCAACCTGGCCTTAAACAGTGCCAGGGATGGGGCATCCATAGCTTGTCTGAGCAACCTGTGCCAGTGCTTCACCACCCTCACAGTAAAGAATTTMTTCCTAATATCTAATCSAAGCCAACTCTMTTCTAGTTTGAAGCCTTTCCCTTCCCCCCTTGGCCTGTCACTCAAGGCCCCTGTGAAAATAGTGCCTCTCCATCCTTTTTGTAAGCTCCTTTTGGGTACTGGAAGGCCACAATAAGGTCACCCAGAAACCTTTTCTTTTCCAGGCTGAACAAACCTAATTCCCTTAGCTGTTCCTTGCAGGAGAAGTGCTCCATCCTTCTGATCATCTTGCTCCAACAGCTGATGTCCTGTATTGTTTGCAGATCSCAGAGCTTCATGTCCTGTATTGTTTGCAAAGCACCTTTGACACCATAAAATATCGTGRTTACAAGAAAAAATACCATTGTTATAAGAAAAAAAAATTATGTAGGACATCAAAGTTCTAAATATTTGAAAGYTGRATTCCACTKATTTGATAGTTGATGTTAAARAAAAAAAAGGAMAATYAAYTTGCCAGATTAATTCTAAGAAACCTGGGGGCTTTTAAGAGTACCAAGTGAGATTGTGTGAATTCTGGAGGTTTTGCCTGTCCTGCAGTTGATCAGTGCATCTGTGTAATTAACCTAACAAAACAAAGTCTAATGCATAACTTGCTCTGCTGCTTGCTTTCTCCTCAGGTTTGCCAGTTCGTGGTGTCTGTCAATGGCCTCAATGTTCTGCATGTGGATTACAGGACAGTGAGCAACCTCATCCTGACCGGCCCTCGAACAATTGTGATGGAAGTGATGGAAGAAATGGAGGCCTGAGAAGGCAAAAAAACCTCTTAGTGGACATTTTTGTGAGAGAAATAACAACCATGGAGTGGCATGACACAAGGCAGCGTCTAAAGAGATGATTCTGCTTTTGGGGGAGGGGGCTCTCTTTCATTTAACAATAATAGCACTGGTGATTATGCTAAGATGTGAACAACAGACACCAGCATATTTTCACTACGGACTTCTCTTTGCCTGACAGAGACAAGATGAAGGCTTTAGGTGATGTGTCCAGCCATGGCTGCACTGGTCAGAATGGGTTCCAGCCTCAGAGGCCATTTCCTCACAGTCCRCCACTGGAACAAAGCACTTCAGGAGCTGAAAGAGCCAAACACTGTGGGGTCAGGATRTCACAGATGGTTTGCATGACGTATTGACATTGATAAACATTGTCCTGGTGTCCAGCTTTGTCCCTGGAGCACATGCAGTCGCAGTTGCTTTCTGCTTGGGCTKGGGGCCAGCTGATTAAATCCTGGCTTGATCACAGTCAAGCACGAACTGCAAATGCATGAGAAAAGGTGTCTGTGCTCAGTAGAGGATATTCCTGTATGAATGTTTGGGCCTGACTGAGTACATGGGTTAGTCTACAAAGAAGATGGAAAAACGTGTGGTACTTTTATAAAATCTGCTTTTGAAAATTGGTCTTTTGGTTTCAATGCCTGTGCACTGGTTTAGGTGCTTGAGTATAAAATATTGGTTTTGAGGTTTTTTCCATATCTGTAAAAGAAAGGTGCTTCAATCTTGCTATTCATCTCTTTGGAGAATTTTTTGGACACCTTAATTCCTAGAAGAATATTTGGCAAGTTGCAGTGGGAAATTCACAGCCTTAGCATAAGGAATGATACATCCAGATGCTCCAGTAGCGAAAGTACACTTCAAATTGAAGCAATGTACTTGAATGTACATTAAGCTTATTAGCACTTTCCAATCATCTGATGTTTTGCAAAGAACCAACTTCCCACATGAGCTGCATTTGACACTATTAAAAATAAAACATTGTATTTAACTCACTCTTATGTTTCTCAAACAATAGGATTTCTTCACTGATGAATTCATGAAAGAAATACTTTAAAAAAACATGTATAAAAGTTCCATATTCTGCAGTTAGGTGACTCTTCAACTTGATAGTAAGGGGACTGCATGGGTTTTCTTTGAGCTTTGAACTGAATAAATATGTTCTGCTCCACAAAATTATGAATATATTTTGCAGACTTTCTCTGCTGTCTAAATTTTACAATTAAAGCTTGACTTTCTATATGCACATGCCACAAATCGTTCAGTTACAGGGTGGGGAAAGTATTTTTTCCTCAAATAATTCTGGAATAYGTTTTGTATTAAAATTGTTCTCACTAAATAAATTTCTCTTTCAGTATGTTTTTTCACTCACTCAAACACTTTTACCTCAAAGATTCAGCAAATCTGAAAACTCACATATGCCTGCAGCTTTGCAGGAAGAAGTCCTTGTGTTCTTTGTTTSTGGTTTTGTATGTGTGTGGTTGTATTTTCACCAAGAAAACCTCTGAAACTCCACTAATAYGCAGCAGTGCAGGGAGGTGTAAAACTGCAGCTGCTAACTTGGTATTAACCAGTAATAATAACTCAGGCACAAGAGTGTTTGCTGGGTTTGTTCAAACTGTTGTCTGCTATGACATTTCTAAATCCCACTTGTACTCCCCAAAATTTTGGTACACATGTATAATCCATAGCAGGTTACATTTTACAGTTAATGTAAAATAAATAGTTGGGCACATAATGTTAGATGAGGTTGTAATAACTGTCCATGGTATCCACTCCTAACACTTGAAAACAATCTTGTTATTTCAGTATGCTGTAAGTGTTTTGGTTTGTGAAAGCAGGAATGCTTCTCCAAATATTTCGATTTAATTTATATTTTTTATTTTCTTTTCCATTTCTTCCCCCCCTCCCCGGGTTGTTTTGGTGGCTTGGGCCCCTTTAAAATACAAATTGTGCATGTTAAGGCAGATACAGACTAAGTTAAATATTACAATGTGAAGGATTTTCTTAGCAAAATGCTAATGATTCTCTCTAATGCCATCATGGATTCTTCTGTATTACATCTCTTGCCTTAGTTAATATTCTGCTACAAGTTCTCTGTAGCTTACAGATAATTAAGAAACTGGGTCAGAATTTGGCTTAATAATGCATTACAGAGTGCACTTCAGACTAGAGCAAAAAGAGTGGGAATGGGGGGAGGGAGAGAGCTGTGCATTTCATTATGTTACAGATTGGAGATGGCATCTTGATTCACAAGATACATTCGTCTCTATCACRATCTGAGCACTGCTGCTTGCCTTCTGTTTAACAGGGATTTCCATATTGTGTTCTCAATTTGACTGACAATCTGGGATTTAATTAATTCTTTCCCTCTTTGGTGTGACAAAGGTATTCAAATTGTCTCTGCAATGAAATTTTGCGTTTTGGAAAAAGGSATGCAGAGTAAAAATTAAGCTATGAAATGTATCATTTCCAATTAAATTGCAGTTTGTCTGCAGATAGTGCTGCATATGCTCYGAGACATTCCACAGGAGCCCGTGTCAAACTCTCGTGCAGTTCAGAGGGCACAGAATTTTGAATATAACAGAGCACCTTGCTTCCTGCAAAGTGCCAGGGGAAATGTAAGATTATTCACAGAAGTGAGGCATTTCAAGAGATGGATGAATATCACAGTGTGGAGTGAAGCAAGAAATCAGAAATTAAAAACAAACCCCAGCATCAGCAGTAATCGCTTCACTAAAAAGAAATTTTTGTAAGACTTACTGTCTTCTGTGATCACGTTTTTGGTTACTACAGATCTTGTGAGATCCTCTAATAAATCTTTAAGCCTTAATCACTCAACTTAGTGCCATTCCTCTGTACATGTACATTTGCAAATCATTTATGGACATCTTCAAGCAATGTAATATTTAATTAAATTCAAGTAGCAGTTAAGCTAATTGGAGCATTAAATCAGTGTGGGGTTTTTTTTTCTGTTGTATTTCCTACAAGGTACATTATTTTCATTATCCTTTTCAAGATCAAATACCATATGTATAGTATTGAACACAACTGATTCCACTGCTAATCCCATAGAAGGCATTTCCTTCACACAATGATGCAATAATCCACTTCAGGTGTATCAGAACTTAATTGCTTTTTAGGTCTGCATAGAAGCTGAARATAAAACTTTCAGACTTAAAAAGACATTGGTGGTGTTATAGCAGTATCTGAAATACTAGTGGATGTGGCCTGTTACACCTTCTGTCTATGAGATTACATTCAGGAAGAGGTTTGGAATGAAAAGGTCATGTAGTAGGACTGTTTCTCAAAGTATGTTTCTTCATTTTTTTTCTTCATTTTCTGCTTATACTCTCATGAATGACTAAAGAATGCTGGGGATGTGTCAAATGCTGTCCCAGAATTATTGGTTTAATGGTCAGATTGTTCCCTTATCATGGTCTGGTAAGGGAAAACTGCCCCAGCGAAGTTGGAGAATAACAAGAGATCTGAATTTGGGCACATTTGTTGTGCCTCTGGACCTTAGGACAGTCTCTGTACAAGAGAGAGTAGTCTGAGGATTTGAATGAAGGAGAAACGCACATCTTTCTTCTTCTGCACTGTCAGCAATGATGCATGGAGGTTTCCTTTTCCATATGGGTGGAGAGAGAATGATCAAATTACAAAGTAATGCTCTAATAATTTCAGATAATACTGTGAATTAAATACTAATTTTTAATGTTATTTTTTCTAGATAAGTATTCTAATTTTAGAGACAGGAGAATCTGAAACAATGTTTTTTGCAAAAGTGTTTGCCTAATGCAAGACAGACTGAGAAATCAATTGTTGCAATTATGAGTATTTTCTGCCCCGTGTATAATTGAAACTAGACTACTTATGTAAGTGAAAAAGCATGTGTATGTCACATATATAAGTACAGTTAGACCACACYAGTCTTCAAACAAAGTGAGAGGACCTTTAAAAATAAAATTGTTGTTAAAAGATTTTCATAAATCACCCTTTTTAAATGTCTTTATCTGGTGAGTTATGAGACTTGTATTTTTCACTTATATGTGTTACTTATAAAAACAGAAATAGTACCTGCCAATTCAGTAATTTACTTTGTATACTCACAGTGCAGATAAAAATATTCCAGAGAGGCTGAATGATTTTAAACSATTAGATTTCTCTACAAACTTGTACATAAATAAATATTTATACCTTAATTTTGAAAAGGAGCTGCTAATGCAAGAGAGAATTTAAGATTGTCAAAGGATGTCACAGGAATCAATGATACAATTAATTTATACGATAAAGACAGTGTTTCATGTATRCTTTGTCTTTGCATTTGCAGTTCCTGAGGAAAATTCTTAAATATTCAGAAGGGAGTAGCTGTTACTGTCAGACTGAATGTCCTCTAGGCAAAAGGCTTTTGTTTTGCACATAGGTATCCGTTCTCACATTGGCCGTGGGAGCTGTGAATTTCCAGTGCTGTTGAAACTCACGTTTCATAAGCACACATTTAAAATGCAATGCTCAGCTTTAAGAGCAGGGGTTTGAAGCAAACACTGTCCTGTAGTTGGCACAAATCATTGTAATGCCTCTTATACAAAAATACTGCCATACACCTGTTGGTTTCCCATCCTGTATCACTCTCCTTGAACTTAGACTACAACAGTCTCCTACTGGCTTTTGTATGGCCTTGTCAAATAATAATCATAATTTCTTTTCAGAATTTTCAGGTGATTTGCAGAGGAAAACTCTCTTTTTACGTGCCACCTCTTGGTATTGATCCTAAAGGGTTTCTACCCAGAGACATCTACAAACTGCTCTTTAGATTATGGTACACRGAGAGCAGGCAGCATACTGACCACTTCAAATAATCATTTCCATCATGCCTGAGCTGTTGAACTCCTCTTCAGGAAAATGCTCCCAGTGCTCCTGCGGCTGCTGCTGCTGCTGCATGCACCAAATCAGGCCAAGCTGGGGAACACTGGTCAAAAGGACAGTCCACACCCACCAGACTGTTTTGTCTTTACCGTGATTTATGGATATTTTTTTTTCCTATTCTAGTTATTTTGCTGCATAGTTGACATTGGTCCTAGTTAAGTCTTCCAACTCAAAAATTGTTTCTGGAAGGTCTTGATGGTCCTGCTTTCTTTGTATTTTTACTTGTCTGTTTTTGAGTGCCTCTTTATCATGATCACCATTGCTAGCTTTTCATAAATTAGCAGTGCTTATCAATCTGGCCTAGTATTTCAGTAACACAGGTGCATTGGCATTGATCAAATGTTAACTCATGGATGAACAAAGACATGAGGCAAGGGAGCATAGTAAGAAAACGCTACCATAAATGAGGGACTAAAATTAATTTTAGATATAAAATGCCACCACATCTACTGTTAACAAAGCTGGATTCATAACACAGCATGGGCCACAGCTTTCATGGATGTTCTCACATTATGGAGACAGAAGGTGAGAGACCTCCAAAGAGTTGTGTTTTCTTTTGGGCCTCTGGTTGAGCTACCAGTGACTTCTCTCCATCCTGTGCTGGCTGGAGCACAGCCTTCCAAACACAGCTGGACTTGGAACCACATAAATGCTCATCTTCATTGCTAACTGTAAATGACTGCAGATCTTTATAATTGCATTTTACCTTTTCCACTGCAGGTTTTAGAATTTATTTTATTAAACAGAAAAACAATTTATTTCTCCATCTATCTGATAAAGAAATGCTCCTTTTCCCCCCCTTATGTTTCCAGTGGGACCTGTGATGAACAGAAATACTTTTCTGTTTGTACTCAACCATGTCTCATGTAATAYTTGTTCTTACTTTCCTTTCTCAATGCAAACCTCCTCTGGAAAAATTTAATGAAAATTTCATGAAAACTTGAGCAAAACCAGCAATATGATGCCTATTAGTAGATCATAGATGGAAAATACATAGTATGTTCAAATAATAATTAAAAAAAAAAAGAAAAAAAATAAGAAAAAATACCAAGTTAACTTGTTTTAAAGTTATTGTTGATTATTTTAAAGTAGAAGCAAAACAAATGTAGACCACAGAAGAGAATCCTTCAGGCAGGTGCATTGAAGTGGTGTAGAATGGAAAGATTTTGTCATAGAATGATAGAGTTGGAMGGGACCTTAAAGATCATCTAGTTCCATTCCCATGTCCCTGGTGGCAGGGACACCTTCCACCAGACCAGGTAGCTCAAAGCCCCATCCAACCTGGCCTTGGACACTGCCAGGAATGACAGTCCCACAATGTCCTGTTAAGTTTCTTAATACCATCACAGAGAGAAAACGTGTTGTAGTTTTATGGCTAAATTTACAATTTATGTCCTTAACACTGCCTTTTTAATAAGAACAGTGTTGTAATAATGCATTTATTTATAAGAACACTTAATTAGAAAATGCAGTGCATAATAATATAGTAAAGATACATATGGGAAATACCTTCATTTTGAATATAACAAACTCCCAAAACAAAACATTTCATTTGACAAAATAAGTTTCATTGACATTATGAAGTAATTTAAATGTTTTAAAATATCTTCTATTTTTAAAATAGAATTCAAACTGCATGTATCAGCTAAAAATAAATACACACGTGGGCTTGACTGAACAACTGCTTTGTCAATGGAGTCCAGCAATGGGGCTAAACTGAGCACTTCATGTTTATTAGCAAAAGTTTAATTAAGCGTGATGTTGAGCAAAGCCTGGGAAATATTAAGTGATTACACTCAGAAGRAGTGCTTAGTAGTTTGCAGAATCARGAATCCRTTTAATTTCTGCTCTTAAAGTGCCCTAACAGCCTTGCTTTGCCTGCAAAATATTTCTAGAAACAAGAAAAGATTTTCTTAAAACTCATTTAAAAATTGAAGATGGAATGTACTAGCTTTTATGGCTTAACTTGGAAAGGAAGAAACATGAAAGTATTTAAGATCTTAATGTTACATTTTCCCAGTGTCTGTTTTGTTTTATAARCATTTTCAGCTCAACTGCTTTTTGAAGATAACTTTATGCACCCTTTTGTTTGTTACTKCAGCTGGCAAGTGTGTGTGTTTTGTTTGTTTTGCTAGAACAAACAAGATCCTGTTGAATATTAAAATATTCAATATTTCGTTTTCTATTACACTCCATTAAATGCTTAAAAGATGCATTTATAAAAGAGTGCTGCCTTACCCTCTTACTGTTTGATTTTCATGATAAAATGAGTGTTAGTGTGTGTTACACTTYTGTTTCATTTCCCACTGTACATGATTGCATTATTGTTCATTCTCCTAAGAGATTATTTTCTGGGGGTTATTGATTGACATTCCTTATAGCAGCATCAGTATTCCATTTAAATATAAATCCCCTGGACCTCATCTCCTATAGTTAGACAAAGAAAAAAATCTCTTCCGGTTCAGAAATTTTAATTTGGAAGATGAACACACAAAAAACATTTACCTTAACTCTTGCTGATTACTGCTTCTTTCTCTAAAAACAGACAATGCTGTCTTAATGTGCTAGAGCTCCAGGAAATCATGTAATACAGGAATAAAAACTTYATGATTAGGATCAAATTGTCCACTTTTTAAAGGCTCTTTGATGATACCCTTTTGCAGTAGTTATCCTGATTAACTCCTAACAATGGGCTTGTGATTGCAAAGATGACCTTTGGCACACGGGTTAATGCAGTGCTCTTTTCCCAACACTGCAAAGACTCTGAAAAAACATCACAGCAGGGTGATGCCTTCTACTTCTACTTACCTAATTGGAATCTGAACTCAGAAACCAGGGGCTTGRTTCTGTTGCATACACATAAATGTCAAGTGCTTCAAAGATGCTTTTAGGCTGTTTGAGACATTTTTCTGCAGCAGAGAGCACCCTCAGTGAAGTCTACGGTCTCTTCAGATCACATCTAGAGACAAAGTCCCAGAGGATATCTTAAATATTGTAGGATAGCTCAAAACATGTTAGACACCTATTTGTGAACAACTGAGTGACATCTCTAATAATCACAATTTAACATCAGTTAATTCAATTGTCTCACAGCTGTCAAATTTTTTTGAGTTACCCAGCTGTATATTCAATTAGCTCTGTTGATGGAAAAGAACATCCTGGCTATCCTGCCAAATCTCAAAGAAGCTGCTCACTTGTATCATGCAGAACTGACTGTGATGATGTGCTGTTGTTAAATGTCTCAAGAAAATTGTYTTCTTTTCCTTTCCTCCTATGCTTTTAGTCAAGATGCAAAGTGGTCTCTCACGCAAAGATCTCTCTGCTTCTGAATTGTCTACTGCCAGTCAAGGGGACCAGAGCCATTTGTCAGCTGAGCTGTAATCCGTATATATAAATGATCATACATTATTGCTTTCTGCATGTTTCAACAGATTCTTTTACTTAAGCTGCTTTTAAGTTGTCCTGAAAAGTACTAATTTTACCCAAGGAGTCACAGGAAGGCAGCAACTGCTCCCATTAGAGAAACAGGATCATAAGAAGGAGTAGCAGCCACTGCACACACAGCAGATGAGAACAGATGCAGCAGCAGCTGAG